ACTTAAGGATGTGATTCCTTGTTTAAAGCAAATGGTGGTTTGTTTTTATTTTTTTCTCTTAAAAACAAAACGATGGAGAAATAAAATATTGCGGAAGTATTAGTATTATAAACACACATTCTGTATTTTTAAAATTTTTGTAAAATATATTCTGCTGAACTAAATTAAAGGAACAACTTATGCAATGATTTATTTAGAAACATGTCCCCTGAAAACGGAATATTTGCCGGTTCCAAATAATAAATAAAATCTAAAGCAATACATAACAAGATAAATAAATATATTAGATCAAAAATATCTAATGAGCTCTTTACAAAACTTCTGGATTCCTCGTGCGTCGGTTTTTGCTGAGTCGACATTGCTGACGTTTCGCCAATCATCCTGTTGGCTTCTTCAGAGTCTGACTGAAACTATCTCGTATTTTACTCTGTACCTGCTTATATATTGTTTGAGGGGTATAAACACCGTCTCGGATGACTGATTCCCAAAATGGTGAAATGTAGAGACCTGAGTCGCGGTGGATTGTTAGGTTATTTATAGATTTCTGTAGACTCTCGGATTTTTCGTCGGTAGAAGGGCTGATTACATGCAAGAATGTTAGTTTTATCGAATAAAATTTTATGTAGGGTTTCATGAGTGTGTTCGGTAACAGCTGATGAGTTTATTTGTCTTAATCTTTCATGTCTTTCGTGTTCTTTGAGCCTAGTTGATATTTTTCGTCCGGTTTCTCCAATGTATTCTTTTCTGCATATGCATGGAATGCTGTATACTCCTGGCATCTCAAATGGAATTTTGTCTTTGACGGATCGAAGATGTTGAGAGATTTCTGAACAAGTGGTAAATCTGGTTTTGACGTTATACTTCTTTAGAAGTTTTGATATGTGGTCAGTTATGTTTTGAATGAAAGGAAGGACCACAGTGGCAAGTGTAGGATTGCTTTGGGCCTCATTGCTATTGGACGGGTGTGGTGAAGTGTATTTTTTGATGGAACGCTTAATATCTTTAATATCTTCAATGAGGCCGAAAGCAATCCTACACTTGGCACTGTGGTCCTTCCTTACACTCACTTCAAAACCAGATTTCAAAAATCTCTCATCATCTTCGATCCATCAGAGCCAAAATTACATTTGAGATGCCAGGAATGTACAGCATTCCATGCATGTGCGGCAAATAATACATTGGAAAAACCTTACGAAAAATATCAACTAGGCTCAAAGAACACGAAAGAGCCTTACGACTAAGACAAAGACAAGCTGTTGCCGAACACACTCATGAAACCGGACAAAAAATTTTATTCGCTAAAATTAAAATTCTTGTACGTAATCAGCTCTTCTACCAACGAAAAATCCGAGAGTCTATAGAAATCTATAAACAACCTAACAATCTTAACCGCGACTCAGGTCTCTACCTGTCACAAATTTGGGAATCAGTCATCCGAGACTGTGTTTATACTTCACCCTCAAACAATATATAAGCAGGTACAGAGTAAAATACGACCCAGTTTCAGTCAAGCTCTGAAGAAGCCAACAGGAACAGCGAAACGTCAGCAATTTCGACTTAGCAAAAACCGACGCAGGAGGAATCCAGAAGTTTTGTAAAAAGTATTACAGTAGTCTGTGGAAGTTTCTTTGAAAAATCAATTGAGCTGCTGTAACTTCTTAAAGCTTTTCTTATTTTTGTTTTATTTGACATTGTTCTGTTACAAAATGCAACTAATTTAGTCAAATATTTATTATATAATCATTTAATTCAGTTTTAATTCAACAATGTACCATATATGCATTTTATGTATGTGAGTGCAAACGGAAATTCCTTGGAAGCTTGTCTTTATACACAAGCGTTTCCTAATCGCAGGTCTAGAAGTATTGACACCGGCCGATACGGCTAAGTTATATTATATTGAAGGGCAACCGGAGTACCAGGAAAATTTCAGTAGAATTAAATACTGATACACCAACTGTATGGATTATATTAAACGAACAACAGTTATATACACACTACGCAAAAAGAGTTACCAAGAGATTTCAAACCGAGGATGATTTTTCTCAATAGCTTCGTTGAAGAAATACCGATGATCGTTTTTTTTTTGTTCAGATTTATCTTTTCAGGCGAAGCTAGTTTCTCACGGGATGCAATTCGAAACTTTTACAACAGGCATCGATGGGCTAAAGATAATCCGCATTACAGAACATAAACACTAATATTAGTTACGTCGTTAATGTTTGGTTAGAAATAGTGAATCCTATTTTCGTTTTCTAAAAAAAGAATTACTATTACATGTGCGAACGTTTTTAAATTGTACGTATGACAACCGCTGTACAAGAAGAGGTGGGCTTGATCATTGGCCATCTCGATCGCCTAATTTAAATCCTTTGGATTATTTTATGTGGGGATAGCTAACCAAACTACTATATGCTAACCCAATACTGGATATCAAAGACCTAAGAAATTGAATAATTGCGTCTTGTAATGTCATAAGAAATAATCCAGGCACATTCGCCTGTATTAGGGACATATCGCAACGATTACTATAAAAATTGTATTTTCGCTGTGCCTTACGTGTCTGCTTATTTCTTGTGTTTATATTTGAGTCATATTGTTTAAATAAAATGTTTTTAAAGAAGTTATTTATCTTATTTTGTTCATAGTTTGCGCATGAATAGATCAATTATTTTCAGAAATATTTATTAATAAAGTACAACTAAATGATTTTTGTGAAATTGTGTTTTTGTGATATTTCTATCTATTTTCGTTTTTATATATTTGTAGCACGATATCTTCCTAATGGTTGGCTTTTGCCCCAAAGTTTATATTACGAAGTACCCTGTATTTTAAACAAGAAATCACCCCCTTAAATTTTTCGGTATCTTATAGCAGATGCTGGACTGATGTAACTGTAATCGTTACTGACGATCAAAAATACACATAAAAAGTTTTAACTTTTTTGTACTGAAAACAAATATTGTTAATTATATTAACAAGATTACTTTAAGAAATATATTTTTCCTTGCGTTTTTAATACTAAGGTAATTACATGAAAACAATTTTTGTAATATCTTAACTAAAACTTTTGGAACCGGAACTTTGATAATAATTATTTGATTATTATTCTTTTATTAATAAAGACGGTTTATTTTTATTACTATACAGTTATTACTCTTTTGTTCCTTGGAGCCTCTTGTTGCTACTCCATAAACAGCAAACGAATAAGATTTCTTACACGATGTTACCTTCGATAAAGCGATACAACCGATACTATCGGCTCAGTATGTCCACTAAAAAAACAAAATATGCGATTAAAGTAACATTCAGTGTGGCCAACCGCACACATTTTACCCGCTTAACCGTTCCTGCGCTACACGAAGCAATGCGAACCATTTTTTTTTCAGAAATACACACAATGACAATAAACCACTACAATTGCCACTTAAAATTATCTGAGGCGATGATCTCCGTGTGGCTGGAATTAAGAGATGTAAACGTTGTTGTTGGTTGAGAATGGGACATGGGTTCGTGTCAGGTGGATCTGGTTCGTTAAGATTGCTTAGGAAACACGATTTCCATCGTCTTGGGATAAACCAAAATTATTAATGAATACAAGAAAAGCGCCGTTTAAATGAGCAAGACTATTAGCAAATAGATTAGATAACTACTTAGTTTCATTTGTTTAATTTGTTTTTCATGTTTCTCAATTGGAGAAAATGGACAATTGATTAACTTAGTACATAATTCTGGCGAGACAATTTTAGTTTTGGGGACAAAGCTAGCAGCAATAAGATGGGATTTTAATGCCAAATAAGTTGCCAAAACAAGTGCGTAAACATCATACGAGCCGCGAGATCAAGTTCTTCATCAATGTATTTCTACATTTTCAGTTATTTGTGCAAAGATGAGCATGAATCGGTTTTGTTTACAGTTTCGAATGTCAAGGGTTGATTGCGTTAAATCGGAAATAATGTAATGGGAAATAGAAATACGCAGCATTTTAACTATACTGTTGATTTCTCAGAAAACACGATAATTTTTATGTGAAGATACCAATTTTTTGAAAACAAATAACGAGAAAACTAATATTAAGGAGAAAGCTAAATCATGTATCCAGCATGTCTGCAATTGATGTCGTTCAGACGGTATCAAATTTAATAAAAATACAAAAGCCGCAATGGCTCACCTTGTTACTAAAAATTGTCCCCAAGAAAAGAGCCTTCCTCTTGAGCAGAAGGAAGAATCTTGAATCTTGAGTCCATGAAACTCCTTTGATTAAATATAGATAATAACATGGAATTCTCCTATCGATCTAATACTGCGAAACTGAGTTCCTGCGATCATTCTTAATAAAGAATATTAGAGATTCAGTGCCTCAATGTATTAAAATATAATTCTTTGTTCTATTTTATCATATGGTCCAATACCCTGGGGATCATCAGGTGAATGGAGGCGCGCCTTCGCTCAGAATGTGCTTGCTGTGTGAATATTAACGTGTCTACAACTGCCGATACTATAAATTAAAGTAAATTAACTATTCCCTATTAGAAGGTTGGACCACACAAGTTCCCCTATTAAGGGCTTAAAATTACAATCACTCTTTTAAAGTCAATTAAAGTAGAGAGCTACAACTTTCGTCTACAGTTTGTGTACAGTTCGTCTACAGTTTTCATCTATCGCACAGTATGTGCGAGTTATTGTGATATAAATTTTTATATTTTCCAAAGTATATTTTCACTTTGGAGTGCTTATTTGAAACGCCGTTTTGCACCGAGTGCATACAGGAAACAATTCCATTCATTTTGCGAAAGTTATATACCGTTCCTTAGAAGAACGATAGAAATAAATCGCGATGTGACCCTTTTGCGCGATGTCGTTATTTTGGCAACGTTTTGATACTTGATCAGGAAATTGCTGCTGGTACAGTATCCACACTAATTAATGAGAAAAACAATACATATTCTAACTGCCATCAATGATAAATGCAAAGGGTGTAACAAGAGCTTTTGTTTCAGCCGAGCTGAAAATGGACGTACTACGGGAAAGAGACGAAAAGGGCAATTTGGAAAGACAACTGCAACAAGAACAAAAAATTCGGAGTAAGTTATACTATTTCCATCTTTTATGATCAACGAACGAGTCTTTGTTCCGGGGGACGCGTTTTTTCCAGACGGTATTGTCTCGAGCAATCGGTAACATAACAACATCAATGGAAGAGTGTTGAATAGGTCCAATAATAATATATCGCGATTCAAAACTCGCATTGTTCCGACGAGATTAATTAGCGATTTGTAGTGGGCACGTCCTTTGTGGTTATTGTGTTTGTTCTGGAGTCTGTGGTTTAGTTGAGTTAAATACATAACATAAAAAGTATGATACTTTTGTTCATGCGACGAAGCGCAATAACTGTGGGAACCCCATTTTAAGAAACCGTGTTTTAGATGTGTAGCAACAACTTATGTTTTGTGGCTATCTATATATCGAAGCTAAAGTCGGAGAATATGAATACATCGACAAAATCGCTCTTATTTAAACTAAACGATTTAAATGAAATATCTATTATTTCTCAAACTAAAATAACTAATATAGCGTGTCCGGAGTATGGGAATATCAAGTACCGAAATGTTTATATTAAGTACTGGGTGTCCCAGTAAGGGGAACGAAGTATGGTATTAGGGAATAGTAATTTGGCCAGGAGAAAATGTTGGAAATTATTTTCGATTTATTGAAATTTTCTAACATTAACCATGGTTAAAGTACTATTTTAAAGCTGGAGATAAATTCAAATGATTTTCATTTAATGCTGTTTGATTTATCTCTGCAAGAAAAGTGGTAAAAAGATGTCCATATTTTCAAAAAGGCTTAACGCATTTTAATATACTTGAAATCCTTCAAAAGGCCCTTTTCTATGCTATCAATCGTGCTATGAGTGACGCGATTGCGATTGTTTACTTCGAAATCAGGTGGCGTTTTCTGACATCGCACCAAGTGTAACGCTATGAGTTTTTATGTCATTAGATAATCAAATTAAGGCCGAACAACCCAGTGAAAACCTCCTCTTAACCTAAAATATTAATGAAAAATGACAAAAAAATTGGTAATTATCTCGAATCTACTAAATTATAATCTATATTTTTTTGGGATGCCAAATAATACTATAAAATCAAGATAAACAATTATTATTTATATTTATTACTTATTTTGCAATTCACAAAAGGCTCCAAATTACCCGTATCTGGCATTACTACATTTTGACATACCAAGCCGTCAAATATTTAGTATTACTCCTTATTTTGTCATTGAAAATTAGTTTTAATTTATAACTCAGTCATTAATAAATTGTTGCCGACTAACTAATTTTCATACCCGTTTATAAATAGTAAAATGTGGAGAAACATTTAAAAAATCAATAAAACATCATTTTTTACAGAAAAAATTCATTTCCGATTATCAATATTGCCATGAAAACCAATTTGGTTTTTATCTGACCAAAAATTCTTTCATGTCGTTATTTGACGCTAGTCAAAGTCCTTTGGCTACAGTTTTATTACTTTAAATTTGATAAATGTTTATTGTATTAAAAGTCATATTTAATCTCCCTGTAATTCAGTGCCTAGAAGAAATCGACGCGTTAGGAAGGAAGAATAATACGCATTTTACTACTTAAATAATTTATTAATTAATACAATGGGTTAGTCTCAATTTATTTGTTTTGTTTTATTGACTAAACCCTATTATTCATGAAAAAAATTGTGAAAACGAGCTAGGATAACATAGTAATGTGAGTTACTGGGTAATTTTGTGCGAAGTAAAGGTTTTGAGAAATAGTAAATGATGAAAATAAAATTTTATTATGATTTTAAATATCATTTGCCAAAATGACAAATTAGAGATTTATTTGGTAAATTCTGGATAATTAATCAATAATAACTACCCGTAAAGATTGTAATTATGTAAGTCAAGAAACATCCAAATAATTATGTTTTGTTTTATTAAATAGTTAATAACGATTTTATCCTTACAAAGAAAAAGTATGTTGTTTACGTATAAGGAATCGGAAAATCAATAAAAGGACTAAAATAACAAATCCAACAGTCGCCTAGAATTTGGCTAGGTTCAACCAAACATTTGCCACTGTCTTAAGCCTTTGGTAATAGCCAGAAATGTTTATTTTGCATAATTTATTAGGATATGCAGTCAAATATGACAAGAATCCTTCAAATAGATTTTTTCTACTTCCTTCTATAAAATACCTAATTATACACCGATCTAGTATGCGAGAAGCGTCACTTTACCATGTGAGTTTCTGGTCTTGTCACTCGTTTATTAAACACTCGCTCCACTCGTGTCAGATAAACTCGCAACTCAAATACTGTTTACTCGACTTGTTGCATAATATAATATTAACGGCCTGGGCAAAAATTTATTTTTTAATTTTTAAATCAGTAAGAAGCCATATTTTATCCAATCTGACTGACATGCTAGATCTTATGACTGAGGCTATTTTGAATAGGAAGTGCCCATTAGATATTAGCCCCTTCAGTTTTGAATATCCAATTTTTGTATTTTGTATGTTTTTATTAGTTTTCTCATTTGTGTCTTGATTACGCTTGATAGAAAATCACAGCCTTCCTATTTTGGCAATTATATGTTGGTGCTTATTTATAGTTTCATTTTCATAAGTTCGCCTTTTCAGTTCACTTTAAGACTTAAACAATAGCTATAATATAAACGTTTAGGAAAAAATAAAAATACAATGTAATACCAGTTGACCAAAACGCGGTCTCATTATTGCACCACGTATATACATCAAATCTGGAGTTAACTTTGAAATTGAGGCCAATTTTTAATCAAATGTGTTGCAAGGATCATAATATTAAATTAAGTACATACAATTTAAGTTTACCGGATGGCAATGAATTCTCACTACCAACTGACCACCAGTGTGTTTCGGAAAAAATGAAAAGGTTTAAAACTAATAGCTTACTATTGTTTACGCCCGCTGTAGTTGATGCAGTAACAATTTGCGAAAAATTAATAATACGATTCCGGTATTTCTCTGGGAGGGGTTATCCCGGACCGCATATTCGATCAACAACTACACACTTATCCAGCCAGCCACATAAGCACCGAGCAAAAGAGGGTTAAAGGTAAAGGGTACAAGCAAGCAGGAATGGTTTTGATGTGCGGAACTTGGGGAATGTTGCTCATCATCAACGAGTCGAGCGTCACGGGCAAACGTCTTACTAACTTCTGCTGCGACCCGAGGGAATGTCTTGACTAAGAGGAATGCGATCGGCGCATTCCTGTCACCTGGTGATTAATGTTTCGCCTCCGTGTAGTAAATTTTAACGTTTGCCGTAGATGGCGCTAATTTATAGTTTTGAGTTTTTTGACTTTTTCGTTTGTTTTCTATAAACGCGCGTTTAATAATAACACAAGGGGTGACAAAATTGGTGCCGCAAATCCAACAACTGATTTTAGATGTTTTTAATAACCTGATTGACCAATTGATATTGATATTAGTTCTGATAAAGGACAAAGAAATAAATATTATAAATAAATTGTCAAGATGGAAATTTCCCACTTATAAATTATAATTAAGCAAATATATAGCTGTAATTATCCCTTACCCAACCTTCCTATACCAGGTATGCACCAGTTTTAGTAAGCGGAATTTGCGCTTGTAAACTTCCTCCCTGGCAGAGCGGCTATACAAAATATCCTTTTTTTTGTCCCTTTGGGACAGCAGGGTTTAACAAAAATTGGTCTTCTAGAGACGTCATAATTCAAGGAAAACAAAACTTAATCAACGAACCTTTAGAAAGAAAGAAAGATCTTACTGCCTCCTTTGCATATCAAGCTGGGGCTGATGAAACAATTTGTAAAATCCGGAAAAACTAAAAACTGGTATATTTCTTTGTATATTCTTTAATATAATTTAATATAATTAAGTACAATTAATGGAAACTATGCTTCTAAATTTTAATATTATTTGCTAGTATGAAAGTTCATTGGCTCCACAGCCATCTAGATAAACATCCATCAAATTTACCTCCTTTTTAACCCTCCACGAGACATATAAGCTTATAAGAAATGGCCTATAAGAAAAAACTATTGAAAATGGCGATGCCAGAGAGACGCAAAAGATATGGCTTCATAAACTTTTATTCTTGACAATTTTTCAAAAATGTACAGGGTGCGCTGTAAATTCAAAAAAAACTGAAAAATGAGCCCCCATATTATTGAAAATTGGCTATAACTGAAAGAATATAATTCAGATGTCACGTTCTTTCACATTGCGATATAGCGCGTAAACTTTTGTATTTAAGGGATTCACGCATTGTACAAGATGTCGATATTCCGTGGTATATAAGAAAGGTGTGCCCTAAATGTACAGATATCAACTTTAAATTTTGCAGCGAAGTAAAGGTTCCTGTGAGCATTTAAACAGTAGAAATTGGGTGCAACCAAATTTCACCAAGTATTTTTTAAAAATTTTTAAATTTTTTTTTTGGTTATTTTGGTGTCCAGAGAAAAATATTTCCTTAAAAACCATTAACGCGATCTTGATCCAAAACACGCGGAATATCCGGTACTATAACTTTAATTTTAAGCATTTTTTCGATCATTTACAGGGTTTGTCAATTATTGGCAAAAATATAAAAGACCCCGAAAATGGTTTTTTTCCAGAGTAAATTATTTTCCGTAAATCATTAAGGGCTACGATTTACAATTTGTATTTACGGTTTTTGTCTATCACATACGACGTCCGAGACATTTGAAAAAATGCAAATAAAAATCACCATTTCTCGCCTTCAATCTAGACGCGATGACGTCATTTACTATTACCACGTACTCCAGGGTTTAAGAAAACCAGTATTTTCATTGTATTGTATTTTAAAAATCATATACGAGGAAACGTGGGAGATCCAGCGCTATAACCACTGTTTCGAAAAATTTTTGAATTATGTACAGGGTGTGTCGTTTATGGGCAAAAAAATCTAAAATATCTTAAAAATTTTCGTTTTTGTGGATAAATTATTGGGGATAAATTAAAAACTGTTAAAGATGAGATAATTTGATTTGAACAGTATTG